AACCCCTTGGGCCACCAGGGAGATCCTGTGCCATTACTTCTATAATGACTGTTGTTTAATACAGTACTCGGACTAGTCACTACAACTTTTCTGCACTGTCCACCTCAATCCTACAGGAGACTTTATTTTATTATAATATATTTTGGTTTATTTTGACAATGTCAAATACCATCACTCATCAAAAATCTTTCAATAAGCAAGATATTTGGTCTGGCATTTATGTCTCTCCCCAGGCTAGCACTAAATCTTTATCTCTCCAGTGCTATTATACTCTATCCCTTCTTATAAAAACTTCTCTCTTAAGACACTGCTGGTCCTTAAATCTGGAAATAGTCAGAGCTCTACAATTTTGATTATTCGGTCTCTTCTCTTAAAATTGTCTCCTCCCCTCTGGCAATGATGTGGATCTATCTAAGCCTGGTTCTTCTTTCAGGTCTCATGTAGAGCTCCAATCTCTAGGACACCATTTCTCCAGAAGACATAGGAATCATATCCTCTAAATTTCTGTGCATACATTGTAGATACCTCTCATTAGGTACTTATCAAGTGCTTCACTGTATTGTTACATTTCATGTTTGTACCTTTTCCCTCAAAAGAGATAATAAGCCCCAAAATGTTACAGATCATATATCGCTTATATCACTATGGCCTGGAAAAGGGCTTGGCATATGGTACATGACTATAAAATACTTTGAAAGTAAGGATCTAGAGGTGAAAGGAGTGTATTAGAGGACTAACAACTGGAATGGATTGAATAATCATTCAGAGAGTTCAAATAGTAGTTAGACAACCCCAGGCTCTTCCTTTGGTCTATACAAAAGACTTCTCTTCTGGACAAATGAGAGTCTTTGGCACTGGTAAGCAGGTGTCAAATTTCTGAAAACATGATGATTAATTTAAAGACCTCATGATGAAAAGAAAATCTACATACAATGTAGCAGGACTACCTGCTACTCCCAGTCCGAGGATGCTGTGGTCTGGTACCTAATCTATAAGTAAACTGGAAGACCCAGATCAAATTCCTACAGTTCTATATTGATCTACTATTTGGAAGGCACTGCCTAGTTATCATATATTATATGAATATACCAGCCCACTAGTGAATAACAAATGGCCAAATATTTTTTCTCCTTTTGATATGAAAATAAAACCAGAGATCACTGCAATTGTAATGTAAATCTCTGATAGGAAATTTAGAAGAAAAAAAATAAACATACCAAATTTTCAAGGTATTCCCACTTGTTGTTCCTTGTGCTGGGAATGCTATTCATCATCTTTGCTCTACTCGTGTTTATACTTTATTCAGGACTCTGTTCAAATACAAAATAATAAGTTATATTTTATCATCATTATATATAAAATGGTGTCACACACCTTCAAAAGCACAATTCTTGGCCATTCTATTTATTTGAATTAATTTTTTCCATATATCATTCATTGCACAAATATGTTGATGTATTTATGTGTTATTGTCCATTTCTTTAATCCCAAAAACACTCAGAAAGACTGAACACTCTGACACTACTTATAGCACAGAGTGAACCCATAATAATCATTCTTAGTGTTATTGAGCTATATATATACTTATATATTTAGTGAAGATAAGAAACTTTAATAAATCAAAAAAACATAGGCAACATAATTTAAATAATAATTCAGAGAACTAAGAGAAAGTATAGCAAAGAAAAAAATTAAAATATTCACTATACAAAAATGTTAGAGAAAAAATAAAAAAGTTAAAAGATCAAAATATTAAAAATAAAAAATATAGTTCAACATAGTTTGGGAAGACTTGTAAAGAAAATCTCCAAGAGGAAAAACAAATGTAACATATGAGCAACAGTAAAAAACAGGTAAGAATAATGTCAATCCTGGAAGTCAAATGTGTTGTTAACAATAGTTTTTGTGTAACAGAAAAAAATAGAGGGAGGGAATTATTGAAAATATAATTAAGAATGCTTCCTAAAATCAGAGGTGACAACTCCTAGATTGAAAGGTCCACCATACATTCTACAAATTAAATGAAAAAAAAAAAAAGAAAAAAACAACAACAAACTATCAAGGTACTATCTTATAGAATTTCAGAACCTAGAACTAAAAATATATTCTACATAGATATAATATATTGGTAAAACCAAATATAAAACCAAAATAGGTTATAGAGTATGTAAACAATTTAAAACCTGAAAAACAAAAGATGACATCAATATCACAGCAGCAGAAAATGACCACAAACCCACCCCTCTCCCACACATGCACATACACACACCAAAATGAAGTATCCATCCATGAACAAAGGGCCTTTTGGAGAGTTGTGGAAACGAGCATCATATGCCAAGGAGCCTTAGAGAAGTCTTGCCTACCTGTGCATTAAGTATAGGCAAGCAGATATCAGTACTATCAGCAGTCGTCCTGGTGCATTGTAGGATGGGGAGAATATATGTAAATCCAAGAACTTTCCTACAAGAAGGAATAAGAAGCATGTATTAGGTATATACATAAAAGGTAATGAAAAAGCTTTAGAATCAGACCTCCCTGGTGCACAGGGGTTAAAGTCTCAGTATTATCAAGCTATTCGACAGCCACTGTGGCATGAGTTTGATCCTCAGCCAGGATGCTGACCCACGTGGTGCAGCAGACCTCTCCTGTCTCTCCTGCTGCTCCCCTCAGCAGTGTATTTCAGTGGATCTGCCTGTTTTGCTCCCCACTCAGTCTCTGGTGAATCCTCTCACTCCCCCACCTCTGGCCTACACCCCAGTTCTTGTATGAATAAATAAAAATAAATCTTTAAAAATCACTGGTAAGACTGATAGAAGGTATTTCTTCACTGAGGACAGTTTTTAAAGATTGTAGGAAGATTACTTCTTCAAATGTGAAGAGAGCATTGCAAAACTCCAAGGAACATAAAAATGAAGGAAATGTGACACAACCAAAACATCATGATACTCTTCAAGTAACTGAGCACACAGATGCAGAGATCTATGATTTACTTGACAAAATAATCAAAATAGCTCTTTCAATGACTCTCAATGAATAAGAAGCACAGAGAGACAAGTCAACAAAATCATAGGAACAACACACACACACACAAATTTGATAAAGAAGTAGAAATCATAAAAGGAATGAAACAAATTATGCAGCTGAAGGATGCAATGAATGAAATAATAAATGCAATAGAGAGCATCACTGCACAAGATCAGAGAAGGAAAAAATCTGGGAGATAGAAGATAAGAGCTTTAAAAGTATCTAGTCATAGGGAAATAATGCATAAAGAATGAAGAAGATGAAGAAAATCTGCATAATATATGAGACATGACTAACAGAACCAGTGAAATTATTGGCACTCCAGAACAAATGTGAGAAGGGGTCAGAAATGATATTTAAGAACATAATGGATAAGAGCTTCCCAAATCTGGGAAATATTTGGATATCGAAGTTTATGAAGCTTATAGTAAACCAAATAAAATAACATAATGAAATCCTCTCTAAAACACATAATAGTACTGTCAAAAATCAAAGAGAAGGAAAGAATCTCAAAAGGTGCACTTATAAAGAAGTTTTATCTTTCAAGAATACTGCACTATGTTTTCAGTAGATTTCTCAGCAGAAACCTTATAGGACAAGAAAGGGTGGGATACTATATTGATAACCTAGAAAGAAAAACTTGTATGTGTGTATGTGTGTGTGTGTGTGATTTAATAATAAAAAAGAGGGAAATCCTGCCATTTTTGACAGCATGAACATACCTTGAGAGCATTTATGCTAAAGAAATATCAAAGACAAATAAATACTATATGATCTTAGTTATATGTTGAATCTAAAAAAAAAAAAAAAACTCAGACTTATAGAAACAGAGAATAGCATTGATGGCTACCAGGGATGGGGAATAAGGGTTGGAGGACATGGGTGAAAGTAGTCAAAATGGGCATATATACAGTTATAGGATTAGTAAATTCTGAAGATGTAATATGCAGAAATTTCCCTGGCCACTTCAGTTCAGTCCTTTCATATGTTCAGAATAAGTGAGTGATCCAAGGTCACAAAACCTAACAAGATATTTTCTATGCAGAATCTGCCTAGTCAATCTAGTATCTCATTTTTAAGAATGGTTGGGAATCTGCTATCATACAGTTTTATCACTGAGACAAATAATTCCATTTTCCGTCACTGATACATTCTATTAGAATTTATCTTTCTTCAAGACTTGCTGGATAATAAAATGTATTTGATGCATTCCTTTTAGCCATTCTATTCCTGGACGATAAGTTACACTGATGTGCTATTGATAACCTCCTTTTTTTATATGTAATGTAAGCTAAATGCTGAAACTATATTTTATTCCATTTATAGTTGCACATCACCTAATATCCTGACATTCATCCAGAGATTTGTTTATTTACTTTCTTTCCTGTGTATGAATTTGCTAATGATATTTCCTAAGAAATATTATAACCAAATATTATGATCAGGAGTTGACAAATATTGAAGAAACCCTGATTTTCTAAAATAAAAGAAAGGGTGAAAATAAGTAGTGTTTTATTAAGTAAAGATGTTATAAATTTTACATTAGCCACATTATTTTAAATGTTACAGAATTGAAGTTCAACTGTATTATTTAAAATCTACAAAGGGTATATATTCTAAGAAAGAGGAAAAAAGCAGATTTAAAATAAGATAATAAAGCAATTTAAATCATTCCCTTTGTAATGGTGGTGAGCTCTGTCTTCACTTACAAATATTCAGTATTGCAATTAATGTAAATCATTGATAATTTTTCTAATAAAATATGTTTATAATAGGCAAACTTTCATAGTGGAATCCTTAGACACATAATATCTAGGTGCATCTGACAGTTTAACTTTAGATGCTTGCTTTCTGCCTATAAAATACACTAAGAGGAAGGAAATAAAAAGCCCCAAATTGCTAAGCAAAGCAAGTCATGCCCAAATAAGATGACTGACATTTATAAATTCTCATTCATATAAATTGCCTTCTTGCAGGAAACAGACCTTATCCTGACTTTTAATATTTCAATGCACCGATCCTGGTGGATGGAGAATGGACCAGGATGTAAGGTGACATCAGTGACACCAGCTCCAGACTGGGCCCCAGAAGACCATCGATACATCACTGTCTCAGGATGTTTTCTGGAGTACCAGTACGTAGAAGTGGCTCATAGTTCCCTCCAGATTGTCCTCGCAGTAAGTGTTGATAGCCAAACTCCTTCTAGCGCTTCTGGAATTGTTTTCTTTCTGTGCAAATTTAGTGCACACAAATGGAATCTGTGGGTAGTGTAACTATTTTCTTTGTCCTAATTAATGGCACCTTTAGTAGGGATTTGTCAGGTTCAAAGAAGCCACGCTTATTTGGACTGAGTGTCCATTTTCTTTACCAATCAGTAAATAGACTGGTGTCTTCAGCATTTTGTGTAGGAAATTAAGTCAAGGTTTACTAGAATTTTGTTAGGCTTTTTCCTAAGTTTTCTGAGGGAAGTTCAGAGAAGTTTTATAATATCCTCATACATATAAGTTTATAGTACTTCAATAGCTGTTTTCTCCCCAAGATCTTCTTTCTGGTTGTTCTGGTGTATCCCAGGTGGTCCTGGGACATTTCTTCTTTATTTGCCCTCTCTTCTTCTAGGTTGCATCAAGGTGTCATCCAACATCTTTTATTGTCACCCCCATTTAAAAAAAATCAGCTTTTCTGTAAATTCTGCTTCTAGATTGTCCTGTCATTTTTTTCACAATAAAGAACCCTCCTTCTAGTAGGAGGCATGAGGAGGCATAAATAACTGCTTGTGTTTGTGTAGTTGTAGAACACATTTATATAAAATATGCCTGTTATATAGAACATTGTTTTACATTTTGTTGCTACCACAAAGAGATACATAAACACATCCCTTTCTCAAGAACTTTAGCTCAGGTTAAATGCTTATTTTTGTGGGATTTATAAAGTAAAGTCAGCTTTATTCTCCATCTCCATTATTCATTACAGACACTATATGTTCAAGTCTAGATGTATCTTTCTTAGACTCCATTTTAGATCTGCAGTTGATGAGCATAATCATAAAATTGTTAACAACAAACAATACAAGTAGAGTCTACTTTTTACCTCTTTCTTCAGTTTATTACTTTGACAATGATATTAGTTAACAATTAAATAACAGGTACTGGGTAGAATGGCACCAATTAGTTCACATGAAATTCTCTTGAATTGAAGAAATAATATGTGAGTGTATATATTAGATTATATAATTAACACATAGTCACTAGATTTTTTTTAGAGATTTATTTTATTTATGCATATAAGAACTGGAGTGTAGGCCAGAGGTGTGGGGGTGGGGGTGAGAGGATTCACCAGAAACAGAGTAGGGAGCAGAACAGGCAGGTCTACTGAACTACACTGCTGAGGGGAGTAGTGGGCAAGACAGGAGAGGTCTGCTTCGCCATGTGAGTTAGTTCCCTGGCCATGGATTGAATTTATGCTGCAGTGGATGGTGAGAGTTTGATAATGTTTAGACTTTAACCCCTGTGCCACCAGGGAGGCCCTAGTCACAAGATTTTTTTTAAATGAGGACTCTGTGTGTGTGTGTTTGTGTGTGTGTGTGTAAACACACAAATTACTGTAGGCTAAATGAACACTTTCCAAATATGTGGCTAAAAATACAAAGGGTTATTCTTTTGTGTATTTGTAGAAGTTCTACCAACCCCTGTCACTAAGAGAACACGGATAGCAAACAGCCACCACCTGAATCATCCTGGGTGGCTGTGCCAGAGAGCAGGATAGATTTGGAGTATCTATTGGCACAAAAGTTCTCCTACTGGGAAAAGAAGCTCACTGTTCACAGTTTAATGTCTAGAACTAGTCAAACAGTCACACCCAATCACAAAATGGAGGGGAAGAAGCAAGACGGGTAAATATTTACAAGCCAGAATGAGTTATTTCTGCAGTATTTGAATTCAGTTCTGAACTGAGCAGAGTGACCTCCTTTCAAAATGTCCAACCTTAGTGACTTCTTTTTATGAATGTTAAATAATACTTATTTTGATTTCAGATATATTTACATGTAAGAGTAAAGTACCATTTTCAAGTTCATATTCTTCATGTTGCATAGATGTGAAACTAATATCTTTCATTTTTTCTCATACAATATTTCAAATGACTAGTCTTCAAAATGTTTAACTTTACCAACAGATAGTAGACAAGATACTTCTCAATAAGCAAACCTTTCAATAATAGTTTTAAATGCTAAAATTGTTCATTCTTATTGACCTGAAATAAAATGTTAGAATTTATGATGAAAATAGCCACTTAAATATTTAAAAAACCACTTAAATGAAGTATTTATTCTTACATGGGAAAAGTAAAATATTTCTGGGATTTGAGACATAAAATTATTCATATAAATCTGTTAAGAGTTTTAGATAAATATTTCTTTGTTGGAACTCCTTTTTTACTATAATCAGACATTTTGGAAAATTTCCATTCCTATGCCAAGCATGTTGTAAAGATGTCATTTATGTGCATGAATAATTATGTGTGATAATTTTAGAGATGTGATTGAATTAATATGTGTATTATCAACTATATTCACATTTTTATTAAATCCCACATAACATTTTGGCACACAGGTAATTTGCCGAAAAATACATTGGGGCATGTAAGCATATGTTGAGACTAATATTGTCACAGAAGAAGTATTTTTACATAAGTAAAAACCTTCTGTAAAGGCAAAGTGGTTAGAGTGCAAAGATGGATGGAGTGTCCCTGAGAACAGATGTGACCAATAATTCAAGCTACTGGCTTTTGCTTTTCCTGTCTACATTGCCCCCAATGGAGTGGAGAAATTGTTAGAGTAAGCCATCCCAGGATTTGGCATCTATGCCTCTTCCCTTTCCACCTGTTCTTCCTTCCAGGGGGGTATCTTTCTTTTACAATGCTGACTGTGTATCACCTGCAAGTAAGGTAGCAACTGTGTACCCAAGCCATTGCCTGGAGACGTTTCCACTCACTCTCTGCTATTGGCTGCTGTTGTCTAGCCAGCCTTGAGCTAAAAGCATCTGCTATGCAGAAAATATAGCAAATGGTAACTGGAGATTTAAGGTATAAACCAAAGTGGGGCTTAACTTGGATAATTTACTCCATCTAGACATTGGAAGTCTTCCAACTGAGTATTCCTCTCCTCATTCTGATCACTTCTGTCATTATTAACCGGGATAAAGCAGTGTCTTGATTCTCTCTTCCACCCCTTTTCATGTTATGCAAATCATCACCAGATCATCCAATGTTCAGTTCCATCTGGTCCAATGAATATACCCACAGTGTACTTATCCCTTTGATGGCATGTAAAGAAACTAAAGAAAAGATCCTTGACCTTGAGAATGTCACAGACAAAAATGGGGCAAGATTCTTCAGGACCACGCCAAGTGCACACAGGCATATTGAGGATCTAGTCAGAAGACAATACAGTTTGTGGCATAATCTTGGCTTCTTAGTTCCATCCTGTTAGGGTTTTTTTTTTTTTTTTTTTTTGTAAAGTTAGTTAAACTTTCACTCTTCTCATTGTTTCTTTGAAGCTGCCCTCTTTTCCTGGATATTTGGCTTAGATCTGCTTTTATAAACTGCTGCTCTCCTAGCTACTGCTCCTGATTAACTGCAAATCTCTACAGCTCTTTTTCTCCACCTTCACTCAGCCTTTTTTTCAGATTTCTGACCCCTGGCAAGCCTGTCACCCTGTTGTTCGGTTTTCTGCCAATCAGCTCCTGGCTGATTTTGAAATTAGCATTCACAAAGCCCACATTTGCATCACACATACATAAGCTATCTCCCATCTACAGTCAAAGGAAGATGAGTATAATATCCACATAATTGGGAAGAGGGGCTATTAATCACACAGCCGAGCAGAAAGGACTGCCAGAACCCCATAATGATGAGCCAGGTGTGAGATTTCAAGCTTTCTTCTCTTCCAGAAGCATCTTAGTATCAGATAGCAAATTCAAAAGGAGTGCAGGTGTGCTTGGTTTAATAAAACCAAAAATAAATAATCTACACTTACAAAAATAGATAAAATATGTATGCAGAGTCAGATTAACTAGAAAGATGATGTTATTCACATTACAAAAAAATTAATCTGATTTCTTCAATGTGTTATTGCTACAACTGCATGGCTTACAAAAAAATGTGTTCATAGGAATTAACTCTGTTGACTTGTATATCAACTTTGAAAGCACCAGAATAGGTTAAAATTCTTTTCAAGATGCCTCAGCTAGTAAATAGGGTGGATGGGCATGCTGAGCTGAGGTTTTCTCTGGTACCAAAGATAGGAAATAGGCTTCAACCAACCTGCCAGCAACAGCTGATTGGTAATGGATTCTTGAAACCCTAAAATTCAAAGCTCCTCAGTGATAGAGTGCTATGATTGAGTAGCTCTATTTTCCACAGGTGAGGGAAATGAAGGTGTATGTGCCTCGTATTTGTTATGCAGTCATAATACCTCACTTCCTGTAGCCAATTCCACAAAAAGGGAGGATGCTGTACACAGAAATGTAACTATATGAAGCTATAATGGAAAACATTTGTCATAATAACAACTGAAGTAAGTTTATATTTTAAAATATATGTAAAAAAATTGATTCATTGAAGAAAAGTACTCAATCTCTCTTTTCTCAACTACCTCCAAAGATGATTATCTCTAAACTTAGTATAAACTTTGCCAACCAAAATTGCTGGGTTTTGCTTTCTTTTATTTGCTTTTGCTTATTTCCACTACTTCAGACATACTTCCAAGTCCATAGTAGATTGGCTGCTGTTTTCTTTTTGGAAGATTTTATTTAAAATGTAAATAATGTTATTATTTGCTGAAACTATTAAAATGAGTTAAGAAACCATATTCAAATTAGCAGGAAAATCATAGAAGATTTTACAAAATGTTCTAATACCTGCTACAGTTTTCATAGTTCAAAATAAGTTCACTGTCAAGTTTAACCTTCAGTTATATCCCTGTACTGTGCAGCATACATGGAATGATGGAATTCATTGTTTAACAGATTATGGTGGAAAAAATGAAAAATAAAATATGTGGCCTTGGATGAATGGAGTCAAAGATATTTCCAGTTATTCCCAATTAGTTATATATGGTTGTCATTTGGATTACTAACACTTGTCTAGGCATACCATTGAGATGAAATGCCTTTGTACAAGA